TTTACAGTTTATTTTAAAAATGATAGTAACAAATGTTTTTCCCTTGTTGGGGAATGGCATATCTATTTTTAGTGAACAGTGCCTTAAAAAGTAACAGTTTGTCCAAACCGAACTTATATAATTGCACAAGTCATACAGAGCATTAAGAAATGCTAACAAAGATTACAGTTTTCTCAGATCCTCGTGGAGCATACCCCAAAGGCCTTGATTCCAGTGGGGACCCCTGATCTGAACAATACTGATATTCACCCAAAGTTCCTCAGTGAGTGACACAAAGGCAGAGCTAAGAGCAACCAGGAGAACCCATGTGGTTTGGGACGATGGAATTGTGCTCTAATGTTAGGGTTTAATGATGCATTCATCTTTTCACTGCTCCAAGACATTAAGAACACTCCAGCTTAAAGCATATTTCCTCAGGCTTAAAACTTACCCTACCAGCTTAAGTTTTGAGCTATAGATCCCATTTCAGGAAACTAAAAAAATTATACCTAAAAACCCCTACTCAGCAGGGTTCTCTATGCCACCACCATTTGTGGGCCCTTAGTTTCTAACATACATACACACACACAAATAAGTTACATTATCATCTGTCATATACTAGTTGAGGGATGGCAGAAAGGTTCTAACTCAAATTCCAACTGTAGCTACTGGAAACACTTCTACAAAGGATTCTGAGGTCACAGCTGAACTGGTGGAATAGCTCACTCTGCTTTATTCCAGATCTCCGACATGGGCACAGGAGAGGGGAGAGTATCTGCAATCTTTGTATTATTAACAAAGCTGAACAGGGTGTGGGTTATATTTGTTTCACTTTTTTTGTGGCAGCTGGCCAATACAGGGAATCCGAACCCTTGACCTTGGTGTTATAACACTGTGCTCTAACCAACTGAGCTAACTGGCCAGCCTGAGGATGTGGGTTATGGATGTTTGGAAAAAATATAACAAAGCTGAATTTTTCTGTCTTAATGAGTTTCAATGTCTATCTGGAGATTTAACTTGTTTTATGGATTTTAATCTTAATTAAGATAGAATTTCTATGGTGAGGGTTTTTCCTTTCTGACATTACAAAAATTAATGAGGAAAAAAACAATGTTTTAAAGAAGATGCACACAGAGTACTTTAAGTCACCATCAGAAGCACATTCCTACCTTGGATACTATAATTATGAGAAGAGGAGAGTTCTTACTCCAGTATTTCTATTGTTGTGTTTTGGATAAAAAACACAGTCCCAGTTTCCTAATTATGGGGAAAAATAGCAATTCCTGAAACAAATACATGAAAGCATGTGACATAGGCTATTTAGATATGCTTCCTTTGTTTAGATGATATCATTAATGATCTAACCATATCTTCTCAATTCAGGGAGAAAAATTCCAGTGGTAACATTTGATGACTCTTTTTTTAAAATTAAGGTTTTCAGGGCCAGCCCATGGCTCACTTGGGCGACTGCGGTGCTGATAACACCAAGGCCATGGGTTCAGATCCCTATATAGAGATGGCCAGTTAGCTCACTTGGGAGAGCGTGGTGCTGACAACACCAAGTCAAGGGTTAAGATCCCCTTACCGGTCATCTTTTAAAAAATAAAAAATAAAATAGGACCGGCCCTGTGGCACACTCGGGAGAGTGCAGCACTGGGAGCGCAGTGACGCTCCCACCACGGGTTCGGATCCTGTATAGGACTGGCCGGTGCGCTCACTGGCTGAGCGAGGTGTGGGCGACACCGCACCAAGGGTTGTGATCCCCTTACCAGTCACGAAAAAAAAAAAAAAGACAAAAATAAATAAATAAATAAAATAAAATTAAGGTTTTCAGTAGGAGAGCCTGGTGTATATATATATGAAGTATTTATTTATTTATTTATTTATTTATTAATTTATATTTATTTATTTATTTATTTATTAATATTTATTTATTTATTTATTTATTTGTTTGTTTGTTTGTTTGTTTGTTTGTCTTTTGTCTTTTTCCGTGTCCGGCAATGGATCGCAACCCTCAGTGTTGCCCCCATACCGGACCTGAAGTATTTATTATTCTTAGAACTAAAGGGAAATGTGGGGTGTCTTTGGCATGGCTAAGAATGAATGAGATCACTGCAGTGTGTATAATTATCTGCTCAACAAATCCTGAATATATCAGACAGTCTAAAACATTGCTATGAGATGTTCATTATGTTACGTTATCTTGATGGTTCTAATAGTCTGATTCAAATGCTTAGCTGGTATGGTTAATCTGGGACTCAAAGGACAATATACCTGGGTCAGGGACTAAAAGTCACCAGAAGAATTCCCCAACAGCCATTCTAACTAAGAGTAACATCTGCAGAACTTGACTAGAATCTAATCGGAAGTCTGTTTCTTGTCCAAGTATGCTGCTATACATAAAAGGCACCTTGGCTTTTAGCTACAAAGTTGAAGATCACAGAAAATGACTTACAGGAAGAAAAGGAAATTTCTTATTCCAGGACTGTAAATGAACAAAGGAAATCTAATCCAAGGAAAGTGTTGTTGGGGACACAGAGGCCCAGGAAGTGACAAGCTAGAGTTGTGGATTAATTTCCCTCGTCTTCTTTTAGAAAGTAGTGAACAACTGAGAAGTTAAAGGGAGGGGGGAGGGAAGGCATGGGGAATGAAGGTTCCAGCTGTGCTGCCTTCATTCCCACAGCTGCTTAGATAAGGTTAGCAAAGCCAAACATTCCTGGACGAGCACTCTCAGGATACGACTTCTATCACTTTGGTTGTACAATTATCTTTGTCTCCTGATGAAGTCACACTGCCTGTCTGCTTTTAGATATGTACCTTGGGTTTTCCTGATAAGATGGGCAAACTTCTAGCACTGCAGAGATTGTTAATCCCCTAGCTTGTACTTCTCTAGTACAAAATTTTTTTCAAAAAAAACCTTGGGGCCAGCTCCGTGGCTCACTCGGGAGAGTACGGTGCTGGTAGCTCTGAGGCCGCAGGTTCGCATCCTATGTAGGGATGGCCGGTGCGCTCACTGGCTGAGCGTGGTACAGACCACACCGTGCCGAGGGTTGCAATCCCCTTACCGGTCAAAACAAACAAAAAAACCTTGAATTTGTGCTCTAACAACCAGCATTTGTACATTTTGGGTCCATATCCAGGTTTAAAGGAGGTGAACACTCTGGTCTTTAAAAAGCTTCTCTATCACAGAAGCTCCTGAATAAACCCTCTGTAGTAAAGTAGACCTGCTCACCTTGCAAAATGAGTTGTACAATTGCATCCAATGCTGGGTTTAGAGAAATGTAACTCTTTACCACTGTCCTTTCAGTGCTAGCATAAGAGAAAGATAAGGACCATAGGATGTTTACAGGTACTTGGTGGATTCTATATTTTGTTTTTAGTCAGCACTAGAGGAAATCACAGAATGATAACAGGGGTATTTCTCTGAAAACTGGGTCCCACTACTCTAAGTAGAGAATATGCTATTGGACAATGCAGACAATGCACAAGGCTGACTTTTGAGGGTCAGTATTACGAACCTATATGGCTATCTGGGAAAGGAATCATCTTTAAATTGAAGAGAACAGATGGCTGGAGGTTTTTTTTTTTT